TATAGCCTGAAGCGTGATGTACTTGAGTGAGGGGATCAAGCTCTCAAGATTTTTTTTATTTTTTTTTATTGGGGATCGTGCCCCTTGTTAGACCTCGTGGGTCGTTAGTATTTTTGGACCGTGGCCACGTTTTAATGGAGGACCCATCGAAAACAAGTTGATAAATTTTGAGTAATCAAGCTGGCCAGGCTATCTAGATTCCCATAATATCTCTAAGTGTTTCAAGGGTTGTAATCGTGCTAACTTGAGCTTGCGATTATATAGTGAATTTCAGGCGAGTTGTCTCCTCATGGGAGTTGTCTCACAGCGAAGTTATAGGAGCATTGGACGCGCGACTGGGGAACATGCGGATTCATGTCGCTCTGAGCGAGTAGTCTCTTTGTTGGAGTTGTCTCGCATCGAGTCTTATTACCGAGCGAGGTAGCTCCTCGTGGGAGTTGCCTTGCAACGGGTTCGTAGTGCCGAGTGAGTTGTCTACTCGTGGGAGCTGTCTCGCTGTGTGTTGTAGGACATAGCGAGTTGTCTCCTCGTGGGAGTTATCTCGCTGTGGGTTGTAGTAGCGAGTTGTCTCCTCGTGGGAGTTATCTCGCTGTGGGTTGTAGGACCGAGCGAGTTGTCTCGCTGTGTGTTGTAGGACATAGCGAGTTGTCTCCTCGTGGGAGTTGTCTCGCTGCGGGTTGTAGGACCGAGCGAGTTGTCTCCTCGTGGGAGTTGTCTCGCTGTGTGTTGTAGTTCTGAGCGAGTTGGCTCCTCGTGGGAGTTGTCTCGCAAGCCCCCCACTCTCGAGACGATGTGGGAGCCAAGTCGAAAAGGGTACCGGATCGTGTCCAGAGTAGATCGGTGCTGTAGTCTTGCGTTAATCGCTGGCATGGCGTGGAGAAATAATTTTTTATTTATTTTTTTATTTATCCATTTGATAGCGAACGCGGATGAGGCGATCACGAAACCTTTGGATGAGATGTCCAACCTTCGGATGGGATGTTATATTAGAGACCTATGGTCTGAGGTGGATGCACACGGTTGTGCCATTGCTTCAGTTGTGCTCTTCAACTTTTTTTTTTTTTTTTTTTTGAGCTTGTTGATACCCACCCCATTTGGAGATTTCTTATCTTTGGGGTAGAGAGATGATACGCTACTCTTAGGTTGGAATGTCTAACTCTTTTGGGTAGAAATGTAAGAGGGTGTATCACCCTTAAGATGAGATATCCAACCAATGGAATGCTGAGCACGCGGATTTAGAGAGCGCGGATGCAGAGTGCGTGCGCGGAAGCGGATGTGGAGCGCATGCGCTGACGCGGATGCGGATCGCGCGAATTTGGAGTGCATGCATGAATGCGGATGCGGAGAGCGCGGATTTGGAACGCATGCGCAGATGCGGATGCGGAGCGCGCGGAAGCATAGCATATCATAGCATAGCATAGCATAGCAGATGCGAAAGCATAGCATATCATAGCATAACATAGCATATCGTAGCATAGCATATCATAGCATAGCATAGCATATCGTAGCATAGCATATCATAGCATAGCATAGCATATCGTAGCATAGCATAGCATAGCATAACATATCGTAGCATAGCATAGCATAGCATAGCAGATGCGGAAGCATAGCATATCATAGCATAGCATAGCATATCGTAGCATAGCATAGCAGATGCGGATGTGCAGATACTAATGTGGACCACGCGAATGTTGAGTGCGCGGATGCTGAGCGCGCGGATGTGGAGCGCATGCGCGGATGCGGATGTTGAGCGCGTAGATGCGGAGCGCATCCGCACAGAAGCGGAGCACGTGCGCGGATGCGAATGTGGATGCGGATTGCGCGCTCGTCGCTTAGGGCGCGACGTTGGGGATGTGTTATCCTTGGAGTGAAGATGACATACCCAACTCTTGAGATGAGATGTGAATTTGTTGGAGTTCAAAGGTAGGGAGGATGTACCACCCTTGTGACGAGATGTCCAACCCTTTGGATGAGATGCCAAACCTTGAGGTGGGATAGCCCCCCATCTTAGGTGAGGTGATCATGAACCCTGTTATGGTTTTGAAGAACTTCCAGTGTCTTTGACATCATTGGAATGAGGAGCTCGTAAGGGAGAGGCGTTGGCTCTCCGAGGTAAACATGGGCGATAATGCGCAGTTTGCGCTTCTCGGCGATGTTGCACAGTTCGCGCTTCTCCGCGATGAGTGAGTTGTTGTATTCGGAATTGAAGGTTCGAAGTAGATGCTTACGACACACTCGCTTGGTGGGTGTTACCTTATAGTGGTGGTTGTGCTACGGCTGGAGCCGCATGAGGGGCGTTGACTCCTGCTATGGTGATGTATGGTGCCACTGCTTCAGTCACAGTGGCAGCACGAGTTGAAGCTTCTGCGATCATACTCTGAAGGTCCTCATCGGTTATCTGAACCGTTAGAGGAGCAAGTAGAAGTTGATTTTGTTGAAGGTTCGGCGATCATACACTGAAGGTCCTCTTCGGTTATCTGAACCGTTAGAGGAGCAAGTAGAAGTTGATTTTTTTGAAGGTTCGGCGATCATACGCTGAAGGTCCTCTTCGGTTATCTGAAGCGTTCGAGGGGGGATGAAGGTAGGCCCCCATTGATTCGATAACCCATGGCGAACGAAATATTTTGGGGGCAGAGGTAAGCCCCCAGGGAGTCGATAACCCTTGGCGAACGAAATATTTTGGGGGCAGAG